CGAGATGACGATAGGTGTTCGAACGCGAAATCTAAAATTTACTGGAAGTGGTGAAAGTGTGGAGAGAAGATCAAGATGAAAGATGCAGAAAAGTAATAGAAAGTCAATAAAAATTTGCAAAACATTTAAAGCTCACGAAATGAGAGAAAGGGAATAAATAAAAACAAAAAGAAAGAGATAAAAAATTACCAGAGATAGAGAATTAAAAGAAATCTACAAGAAAGTGGTAAAAAATGGAAACAGGAAGTTCAAAGAAGAGTAAAAAGAAAAAGATGGCAAGTTAAGAGAGAAATTGAAAGAACGAGGCACGCAATATTTAGAAGAACAACGAACAAAAACCAATTTAATTGAAGACAAGATCGAAGAAGCCATAGAAAATGTACATAATGAAAATTAAAAAAAAAACACAGGAGATGTAATGAAAGATTATAAAAACAAGATTGGAGAAGTACAAAAGGATATCATTGAAATACAGAAAGCTTATAACAAAATCATCGAAGAAGCAATAAAAAATGTACAGAACAGTAATAACAACAAGGCTGAAGAAGCCATCAGAAATGTACAGAAAAATTACAAATACAAGATCAGGGAAGTATAAAATAACGTAAGTGCCAGAATAAAATGTCTGAAAATGAGGTTACGCATGCACAACCAGCCATATCTCTCTGTATCTGTCTAAGAATTTTAACCTCTCACACCATTAACTACACCATATGGAATAGGACAACCCATCTGGTTTACACCTGTTTCTACTACTACTGTACCAGCTATGACTGCAGGACCAGCTTACTAACCAGCTTACTAATGTAATAGGCCAGCTTACTAACACAACCTAGTGGGGAAACAGACTATAGTAGAAAGATACCATGAAAGACATAACAGGTACAATTTAAAATAATTTCCAAAGTGAATGGATGGCGTAATGAAATGTAAGCCATTCATATGCTGCACGTTTAAAAGGATTTGCTTTAATAACATTAAGCAAACTTCCAAAGAGTTGTAGCAACAACTATCAAGCATTAGTGGCTACTTTAGCAACCATATTTGGAGTGTCACATCAGAAGTAAGTTTCTAAAGTAAAGCTTAGGAGCAGAGTAAGGAGGAAGGACTGGACCGTAGCTGCATTTATGGAAGATATGAAAAGACTTGTCCAGTTATCTTATCAAGATGATCAATGTGAAATGACGGATTCGTTGGTACACGATTAATTCATAGATGCCATAGTGGATGAGGATATGTGAATTGGGCTAAAGCAAAGTTCGTATACAGTAGAATCAAACTTTGTTGTTCTTGCCAATCTATCTAGTCTCCCGATGGGACAGTGGTAAGTTTACAGACTTCTAATGCTAAAATCTGGGGTTCGATTCCACATGGTGGACACAGCAGATAGCCCCGTTTATTTAATAGGAATGTACATTGGTAAAGCGCTGTAACACCTCATGAAGTTTATTATATTAATGTATTTTAAATACATAGGCTAGTTCTAATGAGAGTCATATTATATTTGTATCCTATTCATCTTAATTATGTTGGAATGAAATAACGACATACAACATAATTAGTTGGGATTTCAAGCATACGCTTAATTTTTTTTATACAATTTAAACTTTAAGTGAATAAAGTGTTTTTCTATCAACATAATTATTTCATAATATCGATAAATATGGATCTTTATTACTTGCATTGTTCCTTGTTTTTCAGTAAGATATAGTGAAAATAATTATGTGTATGCGAACTATGCCAATATTGCACTTACATGGCCAATTTCCAACTAGATTCGATATTTTTCGGATATTAATAAAACTTATAGTGGCTTTTGAACTTGGCGTTTAATGATAATTCCACCAATACATAAACGTAAAAAACAATTGTTAAAAAATCTACACAAGAAATCCTAGTGTTCTGAATAAAACGACCTTATTCTTTATAAGGAACTTAATTAAACGTAACTATATATATATATGAGATCACTTATGAATAAAACAGCCTCATGTGTACTATTTTTACAATCATATAATCTTTTTACAACTTTTTTATTATACTCAATCCGACGTACTACTAAATAAGTGGTAGAATTATTCTCTTTGCATGTACTAAAAAATATGGCATATAGCTAATTAAAAAATGTTAATACGTACACATTGTTCCGCTCAGATAACATGGCACCATTATGTAAACTAACATTGTAAAATCTGTTTGAACAGTCTTCCTGTACCTGATGAAACATAATGTGTACACATTGTTCCGCTCAGATAACATGGCACCATTATGTAAACTAACATTGTAAAATCTGTTTGAACAGTCTTCCTGTACCTGATGAAACATAATGTGTACACATTTTTTAGTATTCGATCCATTTGATTCAATTTCTAATAAATTACTCTCTTTAAGCGATCACATTTATTTTACCTTTCTGGAATATCAAACGATAAAGTATGTATTGTATATTCAAACGCTTATTTTTATTTACACTTTGGGTTTGTAAGGAAATACTTGAACACATTATAACACATACTAAATTGAAAAGAAACCTGTGCTTATCCGTATCATTGCCACATAGAACAAAATGGCTTTATATATCTTTTATGATCATTACATAACAACATTGACTTGTTATCATAATTTCGTTATCACGAACAGAATACGATGAACCTTATATAGTTAACTCTCATCATCACGGACACAACAACATATACCTGGTATAATGTACCTTTTATTATCACTGCAGACTTGATATCATATATTTGACGATCTTGTATAGAAGAATGTATTTCTGGAATCACAAACATAAAATTTATTTTTTATCGTTGTAAACAGCACGGGCTTGGTATTATGTATTTTCTAACGTTATGACCCAGATATATCGATCGACCTTACAGAGGGTGTATACCATATAAAATGTAATTTCTGTAGATTACCCAGAGAACATTTTACCATTCTCAAATATATTTTGCATCTTAGTTTTATTTCATGTTCCTTATATTTCGAGTTTTATTGTTCATGGTCTTGTTATTCGGAATTAAGAAAACGTATTCTATGTATAGTAAAGCTGTTGGGTTACGCCCTCTTTCTTATGAGTATTAAAATTATATACTGCGTTATATTACATTTGTATGTATTTATAAATGTAGCAAATTACTTTGACTTACAGTTAATTTGTAGATCAACCTGAGCTAAAAATATGTTTAATTAATTTAATCATACATACCATTATGGGCCTAAAATACAGTAGTTTCCAAGTATTGTCAAAAATGTACTGACCAGCCTTAATCAGGATATTTGCAATTTTTCAAAGCACATGGCCTGGTGGTTCGAATCCCCGTCACCGAACATGCTGTTTGTCAGCAAAGAGTAGCCAAAGAGTTAGTGGTGGTTGGTGTTGACTTGCTGCCTTCCCTTAAGTCTATCACTTTAATCTTAGAGACGGCTAGCGCAGATAACCCTCGAGTAGCTTTAAGCGAACTTCAACAAACAAACAAAACAAGAAATAATGTACACTATAATTGGATCTAGAGTTTTGTAACTTCTTGAATACCTTGAAATAAATTTTATAATTTTTCAAAAACGTACAAAACAACCTTGACATAGATATATTTCAAAAGTAGGTAAGTTAGCATTTATAATTCATAGTATTGTACAAGAAGGTAACATAAAAATGATATATATAAAACACTCTTAATAGTTTTTATATCTCATATCTTTAATGTAAAACATTCCACAGAATGGAAATATTGACTTTAAGAAGCAAACAACAATGACTGAATTTACTGTAGCTTACTGTTAATGAACAAAATGACAGTTTTATTTATTGACTCTATTGTCAGCTCTCTTTTTTTTTAAATTTACAGAACAAGTTGTATTACAAGATACAATGGATCTTATTCTAAGTACAAATAAAAAGGTCATGTCCTTGTATACAATTTAAAATGTAGATTAACATAACCTTGTATGTATACCTTTCTTCAGTGTTTACAACACGGATCTGTTTCTATTGTTGCGTTTTTGTTTCTTGAAGTAGATGAAATCTGGATTTGGATTGAGCTTTTATTATTTGAGGTAAAGAAAAAATTGATTTAATTCTACATGTTTGTAGACAAGATCAACATGTATATAACAACATCGATCCGTTTTTATAAATATATCATCAATGTACGGGATAACTTCGACCTGGTTTTATATACTTTTCTCGAGACAAAGAATAACAAGGATCTGATTATTTGTATATACACGCACGTTCCAGAACAACATGGATACAATTTATGCATTTTTCGGAATTAAAATGATAATGGATAATTTTTACACATATACTCATCGATTTGGTTTCATATATACGTCTTAAAGATGCAGACTATGGATCTGAATTTATATGTCCGTGATCAAGGACCAGAACAACAAAAATCTCTTTTTGTTAAGGTACAGGACATTTTACATCTTATTCTACGTGTTTTATATCTGTATATGGAACACAATGTACCAGTTCCACATATGTGACGTCATAATACAAATAAACTTGGATTTGTTCTATGTATTTTGCTTCAGTATATGGTACACAATGTACCAGTTTCACATGTGTGATGTCATGGTAAAGATCAACTTGGATTTATTCTGTGTATTTTACTGCAGTATACGGAACACAATATAACTGTTTTACATATGTGGCGTCATGGTACAGGTCAACTGGGATTTTTTCTATGTAATTTCAAGATACAACACACAGGTATGGTTCTACATATATATGTTTTGTCAAAGAACAGAACAAAATGGTTTTCTTTCAATGTATTTTTTTCTACATATATATAGCAAAATATGATCCAGTTTCATAAATATGCCTGTCAAACATAACAGAAAAACAGGGACCTCAAAGTATAAGCAGAATTGGACAAGGTAATAAATAACATTAATCTAGTTATATATAATAAGCAGAATTGGTCAAGGTAATAAATAACATTAATCTAGTTATATATAATAAGCAGAATTGGTCAAGGTAATAAATAACATTAATCTAGATATATATAATTTTCCTGATCTATGTATAGTAGCTTGCTTTGATCACAATTTAATATTAATTAAACATACCGTTATCTATACTATGTGCCATGAGAAAATACCTTGGAAAACAAGAATAAAGGGAGCCATTTCTATTCACAGGAACCGTTTCTACTACTGTCTTTTCTATTTCTGATCGAATACGCAATATTAATACTCGGTGTCCAGTTTCTCCATCATTCCTTTTCCCGGTTAACAATATCTATCACAGACATCTACAGTGAAACAGATTTAACACTACACTGATTAAATACGCAATATTAATTCTCGGTGTCCAGTTTCTCCATCATTCCTTTTCCCGGTTAACAATATTTATCACAGACATCTACAGTGAAACAGATTTAACACTACACTGATTAAATACGCAACATTAAATCTCGGTGTCAACATCAGCACAACTAATTTAGCTTTCAGCGAGAGTGTTACTTCTTCTATAAGGTCTGCGTTTCTGTCCTGGTTGTCTGGGCCGGTTTTCATCAGGATTTTCTCTCAGTGAGGAAGCAGCAGCAGCGGCGTCGCGATCGAGTCCCGTGGAACGAAGCAAGTTTGGTTGGAGACTGGCCCGTCGGAAGCGATTAGGAGAGCTGAGTTTATTCACATCCACACTCGAGGGGTCGGCTTGATATGCTAAAGCATTCATAATCACGTGGTCTGGTATAACTCCAACAGGATGCACTTCCTTGATAAGTACACTCGCCGGAATTTTGTAAAACTCGATATACTCAATAAAGTTAGCGATGGTCTCACGCAAATCAGCGTTTCCCATACTGTCACAGTAGCGACGACTCCAGTGCATCGCTGCCTGGAATTTAGTCATTTCATCGGCTCGTAACTCTTCTCGAGAAAGGATGAGTCTCACCACGTGAAGAGGAAGCAGTGCGAAGGAGCCAAGGCTGAGCACTTCGTTTCCATGGTTATCCACAAACTCTAAAACCTACCGAGCAACAGGACGATTCTTAATTTTTAAAATGTTACATTTATATTTTAAAATAATGTAAGGTTATGTAAGTCATAGTTTATAAAGTTTTCTAAGACAGAAGCAAATATTTATATATATTATTTATTTTCGAACTTACCCTTTGAACTAAAGACTTGGTACACTTGTACTGGATGTATTTCTCTGCTGATGCGAGAAGAGCACATACAGTATCGACGTTAATACAACTTTGGACAAAACCCATACAGGCTCTCCGCAGCTCCTCTAAGCTGTAGTAATCAGCTGCATTCACTAGTCCTGAAGAAGAAAACCAAATAAAAAGACAGACACCAGTAACTTGTTATTAAATCCAACAAAAACAAGTAATTATTAAATTTGTTTGTTTTAGAGCAAAGCTACACAATAGGTTGAATGCACTGTGCGTCCACCGCGGAGGTCGATACCGAATTTTAGCATTATATGCCTTCAAGATTATCGCTGAGACGCCAAGAGACATAATTATTAAAATACATTGATTCACCAGTTGGTTATTCTGTTATCGACACTTTCGGCCATAATCCCAATAAAATCCCATGAGATTTGGCTAGCTTAAGAGATTTATGTTATTCCTAAATCCATATAATAATTTAATAATGCAAAACAATTTTCATATTAAAAATATAATTAAGAAATATATGTAAAAAAGCAAACATGTTTTGCATATATGTATATATTAAACACTTAAATAATACTATTAATGAAAATAATGACAAGAAAAGTATGGAGAACAACTTACATAACCCAGAGAATAATGTAGTTATTTTAATATGCTGGTCTAAGTAGAAGTATGCAATATCTAAAAAATAAAATGTTTAATAATAACGAAAATGCAAAGTTAATTTTCACATCATACTAAAATCCCATGTTTTCCTTAAATTCTGTTCACATATAAATCTTTATTCAACTAAAATTGATATATTAACATTTTGTTGTTGAAAGCTTTTCAGAGTAGTCCACACAAAATGAAAATAATCTACCTTAAACTATGGTCTACTAAACCAGTAGCACTTTTATAAATGTTTATAAAGTTTAAAGCTAACTTTGTTCATTGGAATAATATCGTATTTTAATGCTTTACGTAGATTTACTGTAAAACAATGTTTTTTAGCCCTATTTAATATTTCCATCATGATGATATAAATAGTATTTCACAAAAACTGTAAAATTCTTGTGATGCTATCGGTGTTCCATTTAAGCAATATCGTTTTTAACTTTTCAATGTATTCCACTAAAATAATATTGTGGCTATAATACGTTAAGTAATGGCCCAGTGAAATAATACCGTGTTGATAATATTTCAAACATTATTCCAATTAAATAATGGCCCAGTGAAATAATACCGTGTTGATAATATTTCAAACATTATTCCAATTAAGTAATGGCCCAGTGAAATAATACCGTGTTGATAATATTTCAAACATTATCAACACGGTATTATTTCACTGGGCCATTACTTAACGTGTTGATAATATTTCAAACATTATTCCAATTAAATAATGGCCCAGTGAAATAATACCGTGTTGATAATGTTTCAAACATTATTCCAATTAAATATCTTCATGGCCATTAAAATAGTATTATGGTATTGGTAATTTAAGTGAAACAGTGTTATGTTTAATGATGAAGAACCTACTCAGAGACTAATAAAGTTTAGAGACGACTTGTATGGGTAACAAAGAAAACCTTATTAAAAATTTAAGAAATTAACAAGTGTACAATATTTCAGTTTCTTTCAATATAATTTTTACTCCTAAGCAACTGATTTTTTATGCGCTATAGCATTCTTAATATAAAAAATGGCTTATACGTGAAAATAAGATTCATTGGTTCGTTTTAAGGCTTACTGAGTGACAGATAATGAGGATGTAGCTTTCACATAACCTTACCTAAATGATAAACATCTGTCTGGATCTTTGTCTGTTAGTCAAAATAACAGACAACTTTTTCTTTGACGATATTAAGGATGCCTCCGCCCATTCCGGCCTTGTTGTTGAAATGGACAGCATTCCTGATATGGCCTGGCATGGCCAGGTGGTTAGGGAGCTCGAATCACAATCTGAGGGTTGTAGGTTCGAATCTCCATCCCACTAAACATGCTCGCTCTTTCAGCCTGATATAATTCCAACAAGATAAAATTCCTTGATAAGCGTACTCGATGGAATTTTGTAAAACTCTATGTACTCAATGAAGATGGCGATGGCCTCGTGCAAGTCAGCATTTCCCAACCAGCATGAATATAGATGGTTGAGTTTGTTTGTAATCAAGTACAATGCGCAGTAAGCCCGCTGGCTGATAGAGGGTATATTTTGAACGTGCAACTCGGCAGTTACTTTGACAACCACAGCTAATATAAATTCGCGGTGGAATGGCATATATATCAAAAATATATTATGACATTGTTTGCCTTTTTTTAGGTAGTGTGACGCCACCGATAATTCATCGCTTTTGGGAAGGGTATGTAACAGCTCTTTTCGACACGAAATGTTCATACACTCAGATCATAAAGATCTGGGCAGATTGGGGATTTAGAATTTCCAAGACAGGGATATCATTTATACTTCACGATATTGGAAAACAGTATAATGTGAATTAACTTGGAAGACTATGACCATACAAAAAAAGACTTGCAACAAGTCGTTCCCAGCCGTTATAAGCAAAGGATTGCATTCTACAACAGGTGTTAATGAATCCAAGAACACAAATGTTAATGCAAGAGCCGTCCACTTATCCTAGAAAATAGTTTGTAACATAGTCAGGAAGTTTGGAAACACACCTTGCTTCCACGACATATTCGTTCAACTGTAGCATATCTCATGTAGCTTGAGAATGAAACGGTATTCGTATTACATACAAAGACACCGGCAAGTTGCCGGACACAATGCTTATGGATTTCTGTAAGATAGGACTGTTGAAACGGGTAATTAGGAACCTGTCGTCCTTGTACACTAGGTGAATTATACAAAGCCTATAGGGAAGAGTAGTGTGCTTTGGATATGACAGCCTTAAGATGGGGTTTTTTGCAATGCATACTACTCTGCTGGGCTATTTTCAATAGACATGGTCGTCAGATTGAGCATGACCGGATGTGGCATCATGGACTGTGGCAAAATGTAAGGCTCCAACTTGTTTTAATGTAACGTACTTATAGCATTACACAACCAGTGTGAATATGGTGTTTTAATGAAAACATAACATCAGCTATATATTCACCTATAAGAGTATGGGCTTATAGCATTACACAACCAGTGTGAATATAGTGTTTAATGAAAATTTAACATCTATATACTGACTTAGCAGATAACAGACTCATAATATTACACAACCAGTGTGAATGCAGTGTTTAATCAAACCTTAACATTACATATATATCAACCTAGAAGAGTACAGGTTTGTAACATTAAACAAGTAGTGTGAATATGATATTTAATCAAAACCTAACACAACTCATATATTCACCTAAAAGCGTACGGGCTTGTAACATTACACAACCAGTGTGAATATACTCAATGAGCTGACGGAAGACATCTGGTTCGAATTCTTCAACAATGAGAGTCTGATGCCCAGTAACTGGAGGCTGTAGAAGGAACAATAACGCAATTAAACTCTTGAAAAATAAAACTCAAACTCAAAGCTGTCATGTACAAAAACTGTACATTTTAGTTAAATAGTACCCGAAAAATAGATGTACGTAATATTTAACAAAGCATTATAAAATCTCATGATACAGAAAGTGTTTTTCTTTAATATCCATATTAGTGGCTTTCAGAGGGCACACAACACGTACACATTGAACAGTATCTTTTTATATAGATATATTATATAGGTAACTAACCGAATAATAATATAATTATTTAATGAAACAGATAATGAGAAACACACAAGAATGGAGACAAATTAACTACTACAGGGAAACACTAAATGACTGGTGGAGATAGAAACGAAATACATTAAGTGACAAACTTAAATGGCCTTGTAAGATCTGAATTATTAGCGTAGAGCTAAGTTAAGGCGATAAGAGTAGAACTTGGATAATGTAGAATAATGAGTAAATAATGGGCTAAATATCGTTCTCTACGTTGAATAAATACCAGTGTTGTCTAATATCTTATTTATTAATACCTTTTTTTCCCTACACTTCGACTTTCGCGTGAATTTTTAGTGTCACTGGTAACTTACTGTATCACGCATATTACATATAAAAAAGCAAATAGCTTAGGACTATTTTATTATCGACTTTTAACGAAATGTTGATTTACAAATGTTTGTTTCCCCACTCGACATCATAATTAAGTTTAAGTACTAAAAATTCCTTACCAAATGAACATAGAGATTTTCGTTTTGTCTGTGAAAAATGTTTATATGTCTGTGCACATGATCTCTCAATAGATAATAAAAATGGGAGGATACTATCTTGTAAAATACAACCTCATTTCATGTTTTACAATAAGTCGACGAAGTTACCCAGATTAGGAATGAGAAATTGGGTTGGTTGGTTGGTTGGTT